ATGTTCCCCGTGGAGGTCACAGGCTGGGGGGGGGGCAGGAGGGGATATCTCTATCTTTGCATTCCTGCCTGGTTTGGCTGCAGCCAGTGGCTTATAATCTCCAGAGATCTTGGAACATCTTGGGAAGGTTCACCCTGCCCTCCTCACCACCACCCTCCTTTATTTCATTTCGTTTTCAAATCATGAGCTTGGCTCACTGAGAATGTCACAGGACTGCACAGATTTTCTTAATCCCTCTTTTCAGGCGGTGTAGCTTCAAAACTCTGCTCAGTCAGGGGCCTCTTGGCCAGCCTGCCAGAGAGAGAGAGAGAGAGAGAGAGAGAGAGAGAGAGAGAGGCATTCCAGAAAAAGGATCCACTGGGCACTTGTAGAGTCCTGCAGTTGCAGCTTCAGTGCTTTCTGGCTCCAGGAAGGCTTTCCTTCCTCTCCTTTGCAATTAGCTGCTCTTCCGTCTTCTTCGGCCTGCCTTTTCCACTGTCTTCCTTGCTCCCTCTGTTACTCATCTCGCAGCATCTGCACCATGCATGGGTTTGTGGCTCAGCTGGGAAAGTGATTGGCCCCCAATAGATGCTTTACTAAGCCTCTTGATCACCGGAATTTGCTTAATGCGGTGTAGTGGAGAGTCACACCGATACTGAGCTGGATTCTGAATTCATTTGTGTTCTGCTTTCTGCCATACTACATCTCTCTATAAAATTGTGCTTTGCTTTGCTTGCCCTTTGGTATTTGGTATTATACACACACACACACACACACACACAGAGAGAGAGAGAGAGAGAGAGAGAGAGAGAGAGAGAGAATGAGTTGTGTTAGCAGTATGAAAGTGACTTCCCGGGGGGGGGGGCAAGCCTGGGCTGTGTGTATGGAGGTCCTGAGCTACCCAGATGACAAGACCCCCCTCTCAGGTGTGCTGATATAGTCTAAAGGAAAGGAAAGCAAAGCAAGACGTTTGGCACCATATTGACTGCAGGAGTTGCTGGTAGGAGGCATTCAAGATGTCATCCAACTGCCTTGGAAACCCAACTCTGGAGTTGCAGAGGGTTTAATCCTGTGGCTTTTCTTCTCCCAAAGATGTCCTGCAAGGCAGCAGAGGTTTAGGAGTTTTCCTTCTCCTATGTGGGCTCCCTTCCCAGGTGGATAAGCCCTATCTGAATAGATCCTCTCTGTAGTCATAAAATCATAGAGCTGTAGGGTCATCTCATCCACGCGTCCAACGTAGGGATCACATCTCAAGAATCCCTGACCAGATGGCCAACCAACCTCTCCTTAAAAACCTCCACAAAAGGAGAGCGCACCACCTTCCAAGGGAGTCCACTCCACTGACCCTAATCCAGGGTTTGTTTATTTTTATACCTCCTCAGTAAGGTAGCTCTTTCACGCATCTGATGAATAGAATGGTGGCCCACAAAAGCTTCTGCCACCTTGGTTGGCATTGACTTGGAAAGCCTTCAGACCATCAGGGCCCAGGAGACTCCCAAGGACTGTGTCTCCCCATACAGCTCACTCTCTTTCAAAAAGAACCCTTTCTAGGTCTTGCTCTGGGTGCCCTCACTGTTTTGAGGTATACTTGGTCAGAGGCTCTCTCAAAAGTGACACGGAGCCTTTGGAAACTCCCCCCAAACCACCCCCCTCAAGTTCATTCCATGCCATTGCTGGGCGAAAGCTGTTTCCCCCCCACCAGAGGGCATTTTTTAAGGGGGACTTGCAGTTGGAAGGGGTATGTTTTACTGGGCTCATTGTCCACACAACCTTTTCATTTCTGAATATCTTGTAAATATGGAACCAGTGACTGGTTTACTGAGGCCTTTTGCTGAAAGTGTGAAGTGTGCTTAAAAGCTTATGCTCTGCTATATATTTATAGCCGAAATCCAAGGTTAGGGTTAAGCCCTTTGCATATTAAAAGAGATATATTTATGGATGCTTGTAACAAGGAACTGTGATTTCACTGATGGAAAACGCTAGCAACAAAAACTGATCAGGAGTGGAAAGGTTCCCATCCTTTGGAACCTTTCAGGTTAATTATCTTGAATTATTTAATGAATTATGGTGTGGTTTGGGTCAGGGTAGAAATAGATTTTGTAGAATTGGCGACTATTAACAACTCGGAAGTCAGTGGTTGTAAAATGTATGTAGCTTTCCAAAAACAGTTGTGGTTTTCATTCAAAACAACAGCATGATGTGAAGGGGGATTAATGTAATACCTTTAGAATTGGTCTAAAAATATATCATCTGTGCAAACTGAAGAGGAAGTTTCTTTGAATTTTAGATACTACTGGTATCTGACTCTGCACATAAAGAGGGAAAAGATATAACTCATGACAGTTCTGAAGGTAGAGCGAATGGAGGCTAGGTGTTGTGGTGTGTGATATATTCCACTTTTTGCCAATATCCCTCCTGAATCCAAAGTCCCTGGGCACCAGTTGATTCAGGAAGTGAAGGATATGACTAGCCAGGAAGACATTCCATCTGCCGACCTTTTTGGACCTCTAAGCAGAGAAGTGCAAATGCTGCTCTTCTGTCGGCTGCCTGTTGAAGGGGGTCTGTGGTGATTAACCTTGAGAGGGCTCAGGTGTGGCTTTGCAAAGAGACACTTGAGAGCCCTGATCTCCCGGCTGAGTTTCGGAAGCCACCTTTGCTTGCCCTTGCACACATCTCCGAAGCTGTGAGTTTCAGAATAGCCTTTTAATAGGCAGGTGCTAAGAACTTTGGAGGAAAAAAGAGATGCAGCCTATTCAGCTTGTCCTGGATGTGGCTTAGGAACGTGATGCTGCAGTTTATTCTTAGCCTCCCGGCAGCAAAGATGAATTTGCAGTTTGCGCACGGCGAATGGATTTCCTCTCCTTGGCAGACTTACCTTTGCTTTTCTTCAGAGGGTCAGAGTCGCCTGCCTTGCTCGCTTGTTGGGCAGATCCGCTATGTGTGCTTTTGCACGCTTGTGCCTCCACATGGACAGCCGCTTTTCATCTCCGATGGGAGCAGTTTGAAAGGCCACCTCTCCTTTTCTAGCTTCTCTGCAAAGCTCTGTAGCAGAGTAAGGTGTTTGTAATGGGGGGGCAGGACAGGTCTAGTGAGCAAAGCTGCATTTCTGCCAGTGGCCTCATTAAGGAACTGCAAATGGGGACAACCCGGCCCATCACTCAGGTGAACAGCTGTGCTTCAGTAAAGGTTTGCATAGCAACAGTGAGAGCAGAGACATCAGCAAAAGCATGCAAAAAGAGGCAATTGGTTCAGTGTCTTTGTGTGTGTTTTTTAAAACCCTTCTTAAAGGCTTCCAGGAAAGGTTAGCAGCCCAGGGTGAGGAACTGGTGGTCTTGTGGACTGATGGGAAGCTGAAAGGAGAAACAAGCTGGTGATTTTTTTTACAAGGAACGGGGTGAATAGGACACATCAGGACAGACAAAAGGACGTCCTTCGTCACGCAGCGTGCAGTCAGACTGTGGAACTCTCCCACCAACCCAGATGGCTTTGAAAAAGGGTTAGACAGATTCATGGAGGTGAGGGCTAGCAATGGCAACTAGCCAGGACGGCTAGCTCTGCCTCCATAATTGGGAGACAGCAATGTAGCGGCTGGAAGCCACAAGAGGTGTAAGTGCTGCTCTCGTGCTCGGACCCCTCTTGCAGGTTTTCCACAGGCCTCTGGTGGACCACTGTGAGAACAGGATGCTGGACTAGTTGGACCATTGGCCTGATCCAGGCGGACTCTTACTGTGTTCCAAGTGATGGTTCCCCCGCTCCTTGGGGACTTGCAGTTTAATATCTTGCACAAAACCATGCTCTTGCCTGTTAATTCTTTCTGCAGCCCTGTGAAGTAGCTCAGCCCCCAGACCAGTTCCTTTGTTGTTTCTGAACCTGGGTCTGCCCTGTCCACAGCCAACAAACTTTTAGCTGCCCTTACTGTTACTGTTAGGGACGCGGGTGGCGCTGTGGGTAAAAGCCTCAGCGCCTAGGACTTGCCGATCGAAAGGTCGGCGGTTCGAATCCCCGCGGCGGGGTGCGCTCCCGTCGTTCGGTCCCAGCGCCTGCCAACCTAGCAGTTCGAAAGCACCTCCGGGTGCAAGTAGATAAATAGGGACCGCTTACTAGCGGGAAGGTAAACGGCGTTCCGTGTGCTGCACTAGCTCGCCAGATGCAGCTTGTCACGCTGGCCACGTGACCCGGAAGTGTCTGTGGACAGCGCTGGCCCCGGCCTCTAGAGTGAGATGAGCGCACAACCCTAGAGCCTGGCAAGACTGGCCCGTACGGGCAGGGGTACCTTTACCTTTACCTTTACTGTTACTGTTAAAATGAAAACATCCCTAATAATAATAATAATTTATTATTTATACCCCGCCCATCTGGCTGGGTTTCCCCAGCCACTCTGGGTGGCTTCCAACAGAACACTAAAATACAATAACCTATTAAACATTAAAAGCTTCCCTAAACAGGGCTGCCTTCAGATGTCTTCTAAAAGTCTGGTAGTTGTTGTTCTCTTTGACATCTGGTGGGAGGGCATTCCACAGGGCGGATGCCACTACCGAGAAGGCCCTCTGTCTGGTTCCCTGTAACTTGGCTTCTTGCAGTGAGGGAACCACCAGAAGGCCCTCAGAGCTGGACCTCAGTGTCCGGGCAGAACGATGGGGGTGGAGACACTCCTTCAGGTATACTGGACTGCGGCCGTTTAGGGCTTTCAAGGTCAGCACCAACACTTTGAATTGTGCTCAAAACGTACTGGGAGCCAATGTAGGTCTTTCAGGACTGGTGTTATGTGGCCTCGACAGCTGCTCCCAGTCACCAGTCTAGCTGCCGCATTCTGGATTAGTTGTAGTTTCCGGGCCACCTTCAAAGGTAGCCCCACATAGAGCGCATTGCAGTAGTCCAAGCGGGAGATAACCAGAGCATGCACCACTCTGGCGAGACAGTCCGCGGGCAGCGAGGGTCTCAGCCTGCGTACCAGGTGGAGCTGATAAACACGGGACTTTGTGCAACCGGTTGACTTGGGGCTGTGTTTTTCCCCCCTCCAGTTCCTGAGGGAAGACTTGAATTACCACGACCCAACGGTCAAACACAGCACCTTCCATGGGGAGGATAAGCACATCAGCGTGGAAGATCTTTGGAAGGCCTGGAAGTCGTCCGAAGGTAAGGCTGGCGTCCAGCTCTGGCTGCCTCACCTCAAAAAAGGAGACTGCAGAGTTGGGAAAGCCTCAGAAAAGGGAAGCCCAAATGATCAAGGGGTTGGAGCAACTCCCCTTCGAAGAAAGACTGCGGCATTTGGGGCTTTTGAGTTTAGAGAAAAGGCGAGTAAGAGGCCTCATGATAAATGTTTATACAATTATCCCTGGCGTGGAGAAAGTAGATAGAGGAAAAAGCCTCCCTCCCTCCCTCATAGCATTCAAACTCGTGGGCGTCCAATGGAGCTGAATGTTGGAAGATTCAGGACAGAGGGAAGAAAGTCCTTCTCACAGTGCAGAGTTAAACTGTGGAACTCCAGCAGGCTCTTAAGTTCTCCATGCTCAAAATCTGCCTCTCTGCTCCTCCCGCCCTCTCCTGCTCTCTCTAGCAATCTCTTGTGCCTTGGCCAAGCCCCTTCCTTCTCCTTCAGCAAAGTCCCTCTCGGCTGGCCTGTGGCTTCCTCCAGTGCAGCCCTTGACCGGTTTCGACTTTTGCATTTTTAAAAACCGACTTTGCATTTGCGACTCTGCCGCCGCAGTAGAACAGGAAGCAGGGCGAAAATAATATGCAAATAGAAAAATATAATAAATGGGGGAATTATCTCTTTCCCTCTCCCCCCTCCCCTCACTGCCCTCCTTTCCTGTGGCGATAAAGAATGAGCGAGGTTCAGTAGTGAGTCACAGGAGGCACTGGGCGTGAGTGGGAAGGGCTGCAGCGCGTCTGAGACTATTTTGGAATACTAGGAGCCTGGATTAAATACTAGTGTGTTTAATCCTTTATGTTTAATCTTGTTTTCCACAAATTTTTACCAACAACCAAACCACAAACTCTGAAACCCCCAGGCAGCTGATACATTGGGTATACATAATCAATAATAACATATTCAAATCAACCATATGTACAATTCTATATACATTAACACTCCTCCCTCCACAAGGTTTAACTTTTAACGTTTTAATTGCCCCAAATTGTTCAAACCTACCCAACTAATTCAATATCTTCTAATTCTCCTCCTTCTCACTGACCTTAAAACCTTTCATTTTATGTATCTTCACAGTTAGATATTCTAAAATTATAATATTTTTCAGTTTTTTCCTCCGTTGGTTCACCCCTAGCTCTTCTGCATTTTTCCAATTACTCGCTATAACCTGTCTGGCTGCAATTACCATCAATTTTACCCATTTACATTCCTCTTTCGTTTCTAACTCGGTGCTACTCAGGCTAATAAGAACCATTAATTTAGCTATTTCCACCTTCCTACCCACAATTCCCGATATTTCCATACCAATCTGTTTCCAGAATTCATTAACTAACGGACAATCCCACCACAGATGTTCAGTTGCAAGGCATGGGGAATGTAAACTGTTAAGGCATTTCAGGAGACACACGGGGTCACACTCCTGTTCCACTGCCCTGCTAAGAGGCTCAGGTTGCTTCAAGGAAGCTGAGCATTGGAAGACCCATGGCAGATAAAATAAAGTCCTCCTTTACACAGCAGCTAGTCAGACTGTTGAACTCCCTCCCACAGGAGGCAGGGATGGCCACCGACTTGGAAGGCCATAAAAGAAGATCGGCCAAATTCTGTCAGGAGCTCGTCCTGCACTCGAGTAAGAGCCTGGCAGAGACACATGCCCGACTGACATGTTCCCTCCCTCCTGGTCGTTCGTTCAGGAGCTTCATAAGCTTTCTTCAGCCCGAACATCACAGCGACCGATGCCAATAGACATCGGCACACTTAGGGATCCGCAGAGTTTGTGCATCATGCGTGACAGACCTCAGCAACTCAGCATTTTGGCTAATCTACTTTATTTACATATCAACACACATGGAGCACTGCAACATGGCTCCCTCTCTCTCTAGCATCAGACAGCAAAGAGAAAAAGAACAAAGGACAATAGTCCCACTTCACGGAACACAGGAACACAAACATCCTGTCTTCGTCACTTCCCACTCTGTGGAGTCAAAACATACACCGTCATGTGATAGACAACAATCCCATGACTGCAATCACGGAGCAGGAATTCTCACAAATTCATGGGGGAGCAGAGGGCCTTTGATGGCTGCTAGACAGGTTGGCTACGCTCTGCCTCCACAATCAGAGGCAGAAATACTTCTGAATACCAGTTGCCGGAAAACTGCAGGAGGGGAGAAAGTGGGCAACCAAAATGGTCAAAGGCCTGGAAATGATGCCTTATGAGAAACGGCTAAGGGAGCTGGGCATGTTTAGCCTGGAGAAGAGGAGGTTAAGGGGTGATATGATAGCCATGTTCAAATATATAAAAGGATGTCACATAGAGGAGGGAGAAAGGCTGTTTTCTGCTGCTCCAGAGAAGCGGACACGGAACAATGGATCCAAACTACAAGAAAGAAGATTCCACCTAAACATTAGGAAGAACTTCCTGACAGTAAGAGCTGTTCGACAGTGGAATTTGCTGCCAAGGAGTGTGGTGGAGTCTCCTTCTTTGGAGGTCTTTAAGCAGAGGCTTGACAACCATATGTCAGGAGTGCTCTGATGGTGTTTCCTGCTTGGCAGGGGGTTGGACTCGATGGCCCTTGTGGTCTCTTCCAACTCTATGATTCTATGATTCTAATGAACCTCCTCCAGAGAAGTGAGAACCTCTGTGGCAGCCTTGCTTTTGACATGAAGCAACTTTTAAAAAATAAGCCGTTCTCTACAAATACACGGTACAGGTATGGGCACCTGCATGGCTCTATCTTGCACACACACACCCCAATTTATATGTGGACAGACTTGAACAAGCCATCCGTCAAGAGTGCCCCCTGTCACCCACTTACCGGGTTCCATTTTGTTGATGATTGAGAAGTTAATTTAGCTGTATTTTATCTTTCCATGCTGGTCCCCATAGCTGTGACCCCTCAGTATTTGCTTTTGGATTAAGTTCTCAAGAGAGCCAGCGCGGTTGTGTTAGAGAGTGTTGGACTAGGAAGACCTGGGAGAGGCCAAGGTTCAAATGGTGGCTTAGCCATGAAGCTCCTTGGATGGGCCAGCCACTCCCTCTCAGCCTGGCCCACCTCACAGGGTTGTCCTGAGGATAAAACGGGAAGGACAACCACCTTAAGCTCTTTTTAGGAAAGGAGGAATATAAATCATGATGGTGATAGTAGTTCTGTAGTCCTGACCTGTAGCTTGCATTTGTTAGAGCTCAATCATTTAGTGTGGCAGCCCTTACACTTTGGAACTCCCTGCCTATTGATATCACTGTTCTTATTTAAACAAGCACAGCCAGATGCTGAGAAAGTTGAGGTGGATTTTTAATCTCTTTTCATGTTTTAACTTCTGTACATTGCAAATGTTTCTTGGTTTTATTGCTTTGTCTTCTTGTAAACCGCTTTGAGGCTTACTACAACCAAGCGGCGTGTAAATTTTCAAGAAATGAATAAATAAAAGCACAGCCTGCACAGAGGTCCTGACTCCTTCCCTGCTGTTGGTGAGAGCAGGTCCCAGAGTCCCATGGCTTCAGGCAGAGATCCCATATTCCCTTGGGGGGGGCATTGACAGATGCTTAGCTGCTGCATCCTAAGTTTCTTTACCTGCCCACGCTGCGTTTCTCTCTGTCTCACCCTGCCACTGCTCCTTCCCAGTTCACAGCAGCTTTTTAAGAACTGATTTCCACATCTGCTTCTCTTGGGTGTCTTGACGCTCCTGAGCTGTCAGGGGCGGGAGGAGAGGAGCAGTCTGTTTTTTGTCATGTTGAGTCTTTCCTCTTCCTTGTCTCCTCTTTGAAGGAGGAATAAGGGCTTCTTCTAATTTTGCCCAAATAAGTGGACCAATGACATTGCCATTTGTTGTTGTTGTTGTTTAGTCGTTTAGTCGTGTCCGACTCTTCGTGACCCCATGGACCAGAGCACGCCAGGCACTCCTGTCTTCCACTGCCTCCCGCAGTTTGGTCAAACTCATGCTGGTAGCTTCGAAGACACTATCCAACCATCTCGTCCTCTGTCGTCCCCTTCTCCTTGTGCCCTCCATCTTTCCCAACATCAGGGTCTTTTCCAGGGAGTCTTCTCTTCTCATGAGGTGGCCAAAGTATTGGAGCCTCAGCTTCACGATCTGTCCTTCCAGTGAGCACTCAGGGCTGATTTCCTTCAGAATGGATCGGTTTGATCTTCTTGCAGTCCATGGGGCTCTCAAGAGTCTCCTCCAGCACCAGAATTCAAAAGCATCCATTCTTCGGCGATCAGCCTTCTTTATGGTCCAGCTCTCACTTCCATACATCACTACTGGGAAAACCATAGCTTTTACTATACGGACCTTTGTTGGCAAGGTGATGTCTCTACTTTTTAAGATGCTGTCTAGGTTTGTCATTGCTTTCCCCCCAAGGAGCAGGTGTCTTTTAATTTCGTGGCTGCTGTCACCATCTGCAGTGATCATGGAGCCCAAGAAAGTGAAATCTCTCACTGCCTCCATTTCTTCCCCTTCTCTTTGCCAGGAGGTGATGGGACCAGTGGCCATGATCTTCGTTTTTTTGATGTTGAGCTTCAGACCATATTTTGCGCTCTCCTCTTTCACCCTCAATAAAAGGTTCTTTAATTCCTCCTCACTTTCTGCCATCAAGGTTGTGTCATCTGCATTGCCATACTAAAATACAAAGTGGAAAGAGCCTGTTTATTGGTTCAGCTGTTCTCAGCAGACATACAGATGACTGCATGGTTTGGTGTGAGACTGAACTTTATCGTCAAGTTAGCAAATTGCCCGCGATTATGGCTGAGCAGGGATTTGAACCCTGGTCTCTCAGGCCCTGATCCAACACTCTTCTCGCTGTGCTACATTGCTTCCCTGCCCTGGTCTGACATCCTTCTGTACATTCTCTGATCTTTCCCCCCCTGTCCCCTGTCCCTTTAGCCCCTTCTCATAGGATTTACTGTAGAGCCTGCAATTGGCCCAGCCTTTGCCAGCATTTTCTGAAATTATGTTCCTCTCTGCATCTTCCTGTTGGTTCAGAGAGGTTTGGGGGCATCCCGTGGCACCAGAAACACAATAAAACTAGATGGATGAGCCAGATAGTGATAGGAGAGAGATGGGAGGCCTGGAGACGTGAGCTGAGATGGTGGGGCCTGAAGACCGGCTGCTGGTTGGTTCAGCCACTGACTTGCCCTCTCCCACCTTTCTTTCAGTGTACAACTGGACCGTCGATGAGGTGGTGCAGTGGCTCATCACCTACGTGGAGCTGCCGCAGTACGAAGAGACCTTCAGGAAGCTGCAGCTCTCTGGGCATGCCATGCCAAGGTCAGTTCCCGGGGGTGCAAGAAAGGAAGCTGGGTTTTGGCCTGTGGCTTCCCAGGGTTTTGTGAGAGCGCTGCTTGGAGATCCCCAGTAGCTTGGCAAAGTCAGTTTCAAACCTGCTTTCGGCGTATAGTGTCGGTGGGCCAGCGGTGGAGTAGTTGTTGGAATGTTGGGCTATGACCTGGGAGACTAGGGTTCAGATTCCTGCTGAGCCATGAAATTCACTGGGGTGACCTGGGGGGCAGGGCATCCACTGCCTCTCAGACTAACCTCTACTGCACAGGTGGGATATAAATGCCACATTAAAAGGTAAAGGTAAAGGGACCCCTGACCATTAGGTCCAGTCATGGCCGGCTCTGGGGTTGCGGTGGTAATCTTGCTTTATTGGCTGAGGGAGCCGGCATCCAGCTTCCGGGTCATGTGGCCAGCATGACTAAGCCGCTTCTGGCGAACCAGAGCAGCACACGGAAACGCCGTTTACCTTCCAGCCAGAGAGGTACCTATTTATCTACTTGCACTAGTGTGCTTTTGAACTGCTAGGTTGGCAGGAGCAGGGACCGAGCAACGGGAGCTCACCCCATCGCAGGGATTCAAACCGCCAACCTTCTGATCGGCAAGCCCTAGGCTCAGTGGATTAACCCACAATGCCACCCGCATCCCAAAAATGCCACATTATTTGTTATTATTTATTATCAGAGATTCACAGGGTGCTTTACAATATCAAAACACAAAAAGGCATAACATAATAAGGGAAGTATTGCAATAAATGCAATAAATAAAATTATAAAAAAATAAAACTTATCCATCTGGCCACTTTCTCCTTCTCACACATTTGTGGGGGCTAACAACCAGCTCCCTGGGTTTAGCGAGAGGTGTTCTCTGCAAAGCAGAGAAGATATCCCAGCAAAGGAAGCTTTCCTGCTTTATGAAATGAGAATAGCTGGTGCAAAATATCCTTGTGAACAACCAGGAAGCTGCCTGTTAAATCTCCTACCTGCCTGCTGGTGGTGAGTCCTCGCAGAGCTTGCCTGAGGGGCTACCTGGCCAAGCTGTGTTTTTTGCTCCAAATGCCCTTCAGACGTGACCACCTCCTCTGCCTCCCTCTTCCCTGCAGGTTGGCAATCACCAACGCCACCATGACAGGAACTGTCCTGAAGATGACCGACAGGAGCCACAGGCAGAAGCTGCAGCTCAAGGCCCTGGACACCGTGCTCTTTGGGCCGCCTCTCTGTGAGTGACGTTCATGTGGTCACGTGACTGTATGTGGGGGACGTGTGTCAGCTGACATGTGTAGATGGGGAACACCTCCGGGGTAATTCCGCTAGGCACTCAGGAAGCTGCAAGGACTCCTTGTCTTCTTCAGTGATCCCTCGTAGCAAAGTAAGATTGTCTTCCATAAACACGGTTTTAACAGTGAGTCCATAAGGCCAATTCTGGATCCACATGTCCTTCCACAGTGGAGACATAGGTTTCTGGGTGGGATCATGGTGAGGGTTTGCCAAGTGTGCCTTCCTCTTAGCACGCTTCTCCCTTGCATCCTGAGTTTGAGTGTCTCCAAAGCCACACTCTTGGTCAAGGCTGTTCTCCAACTGGAGTGCTCGCAGGCCAGTGTTTCCCAGTTGCTGGTGTTTATAGTACATTTTTTAAGATTTGCCTTGAGAGAGACTTTAAACTTCTTTTGTTGACCACAAGCATTACACTTTCCATTTTTAAGTTTGGAATAGAGTAGTTGCTTTGGAAGACAATACTTAGGCATCCGCACAACAGGACCAGTCCAACGAAGTTGATGTTGAAGAATCATTGCTTCGACACGGGTGATCTTTGCTTCTTCCAGTACACTGGCACATGTTTTTGCTATGAGCCATTCAACAGGGGAAGGGACTTCCTTGGAAGGTGGTGGACTCACCTTCATTGGGTTTTTTAAAGCAGAGTTTGGATGGCTGTCTGTCAGGGATGCTTTCGCTGAGATTCCTGCAGTGCAGGGGTTTGGACTAGATGACCCTCGGGGTCACTTCCAACTCCACAATTCTATGCACTAGTTCTAGTTTTCTTCTTGTTCGGACTTAATGCCTGGATGGGATGGAGGAGAGAGAGTTTAGAGGCTGCCTGTAGTTGAGAAGAAATCCCCCTTTCTTGAAGATTTGCCAGAGTGATTTGGGAGTTGGGTTTTGACACTTGGACTGCCTTTAGGTATTTCGTGGCATAGAATTTACTTTGTCGGTTTGGCTTTTAAGTGGTTGTGGCCCAGCCTTGCCTCTGTGTGGTGTAGTGGTTAAGAGCAGTAGACTCATAATCTGGTGAACCGGGTTCGCTCCCCCGCTCCACATGCAGCTGCTGGGTGACCTTGGGCTAGTCACACTTCTCTGAAGTCTCTCATCCCCACTCATTTCACAGAGTGTTTGTTGTGGGGCAGGAAGGGAAAGGAGAATGTTAGCCGCTTTGAGACTCCTTCAGGTAGTGATAAAGCGGGATATCGAACCCAAACTCTTCTTCTCTTCTTCTTGGAACAAGGAAGGGGGAAATCCAAAGAAATGTGGCTTCAGCATCCAAGACAAAACAGAAATCTGTAACCAGAATATTCAGAACCTCTTAGACAGACAGGTAGATTAATTTGCATGCATGCATTTCCTGGACCTTTTTCCTTTTTGGCTGCCTGAAACTACCTCCCACCCACCCACCCACCTCAGGCCCCCAGGCTTGGATTGGCAAGATGAGAAGCTGCCGGGGGGGGGTAGGTATTGTTAGGCGGCAGCAGAGCAACTTAGGGTTGAGTCGGGATGTTCGTACAGAGAAGTGTTTGTGTTGCTGTTTCTGGACTGTTTCAACTTCTGATTGAAAAGGGAATAAATCTAAACCAGCCATATAAATGGTGTGGAAACCCTCAGGGCCTGCAAGTACTCTAGGAGAGAGGTGGTTGAAGAGCAAAGTGGATGGTTTATTTATCATTCTTAAGTGCTGTTTTTCCCTTGTGGGATTCCAAGTGGCTGCAGTCGATCTAACCCAGGAGCACGAAGCTGGCGTCTCCTTCTGCTTGGCTCACAGGCTCTGGTGAGTGGCTGGCTCACAGGCTGAACGTCAGGTGTGCCACCGATGCTTCTCTGGGACACCTGATGCTTTGCAGGTTTCTCCCAGGCATCTATCTATTTGGCCTCTGTGAGAAACGATGCTAGACTAGATGGTCTGATCTTGTTAGGTTCTTTCAAAGGGAGGGCATCCCTCCACAAGCTCTCCATGCTGCGGATACTGGCAACATTTTGGGGAAAGGTGTGACAAGGTGATTTAGTGGTGGGAGGCCATAGTGGTGACAGGGCAGAGAGGCATCAAAGCTTCACCATCTTCCTGCTCAGCTTGGGAGCATAAAGAGAGTGCAACCTGTGAAACCGATTCTGGGATAAAATTTTCTGTTTGCAAATAAATGGTTTATTTATTGGGCCAAGGTGGAGGGTGGGAGTTTCCATCACTACCTTTATCTAGCAGCGATGACCGGAGACCTGGATCTGTGCTCTCTGGCCCGACTCATGGACGCTTTGGGTGCAATTCCTGCATTGCAGGGGGTTGGACTTGAGTTCCCGCCAACTCTAAGCTTCTGTGATTCTGTGGCCCTTTCTTCGATCCTTATGTCAGACGGGTCCTTTTGGGAAGAATCTGAATTTAGGCCTTTTATTCTCCCAAGGAACAGAAAGCTTGCTTGAAAGGCACTTTGGCTGTGAAGAAACCCATTTGCTTTGATCAGGAAGAGGCGATTAATCAAAGTATTGCAATTATGGGGCTCAGATATCCTGGCCACTCTAAATATTTACAGTCCAGTGCATTGTGTTTAGGTTGCCTTTGCCTGGTAATGAGCTGAGCGGCAGCATCAGCCGAGTCCCCTTAGTTAGCAGTTCTTGGAAAGGCCATTTGCCGCCTGCGGGAGACTCACTGCTTCTGTGCCGATGCTCCCGATCCCTGCTGCCATGCGCAAGGGCCTTCCTTGTGCACCAGGGCAGCCTCAGTCTGGGGCAGTAACTGAAATAGGGGAGGACAGGTTGCAGGAGGCAAGTGGGGATTTCTCCCAGTGGGGGCTGGGACTTTTAGAAGACATCTGAAGGTAGCCCTTTATGGGGAAGTTTTTAATGTTTGATGTCTCGTTGTGTTTTTTATATTGTGTTGGAAGCCTCCCAGGGTGGCTGGAGCAACCCAGTCAGATAGACCGGGTACAAATGATAAAATTACTATTCTTATTGAGGGGCCGGGCAGCCAGGGGCCACACAAGAACATAAGAAGTGCCTGCTAGATCAGGCCAAAGGCCTGTCTAGTCCAACATCTTGTTCTTACACTGACCAGGCAGATGCCTCTCACAGGAACCCGCGAGCAGGATTCGAACGCAATACTCTTGTGGTTTCCAGCAACTGGTATACAGAAGCATTTCTCCCTCTAACTGTGGAGACAGAGGACAGCCAGCATGGCTAGTAGCTATCGATAGCCCTCTCCTCCATGAATCACTGCCTCCTGAAGTTTAACAGTGCGCTCTGCACATTAGTATTTAACTTCTTGCCTTGCTGTGCTGCATGTACAGAAACTGGCCCAGGCTGTGAGGTGAGCCAGGAACTGAGGAGGCTGCAGCAGCGTCCTTTGGGCCTCCTCCTCCTGGCATCGTGTGATTCCTGAGCCCTGTGACAGGAGCTAGGAAGTGAAAGTGCCTCATTGGCCTGGCGGCGGAAGGGAAGCTGGAGCAGGAGGATCAGTCTCCCTCTTCCGACGACCCACCCCACGGGAGGGTCACCTCAGGTGCACCGTCGGCCTGTGTGAGCCCTAGGATAAGCACATGCCTGGGCTGGAGATCTGTGGGAAGGGGCCAGATCCGCTGAAAGGCTCTGAGGTCACTGTATCCCAGCACGCTTTGGAAAGTGCAGGGCAAATGCAGAAAACCTCTCGTTGAAGGGCAGGAAGTCAAAGTGGGGAGCCCAGGGCAGCCCGCGAGCGGGCCAAGCCCCCCTGCTCTGTGCCTGCTTGCTCCGAGATTCCTTCTGTGCGGCGCTCAGTCTCCAAGGGCACCCCAGTGTTTGTTTACTGCCGGAGTTTGTGTGTGACCCTGTCACCATAGCGCTGGAGCTTTGGTTTCTCCCGGCAAGCGCAGCTCTGTGGTGCAAAAGGCAGGTGGCGGGAGGAGGGGGGCGGAGGCAATTTATTTAACCACGGAGGAAGCTAGCAAAAAAGGGGGCCACGGCTGCCTCCTCATCACACCTGCTCCTTAGAGGGCCCTTGGGGCGTTACAGAAGGACATAAGAAGAGCCTGCAGGATCAGGCCAGTTGCCCACCTAGCCCAGCTCCCTATTCTCACCGTGGCCAGGCAGGTGTCCCAGTGGGGAACCTGCAAGCCGGATGCAAGCACAAGAGCAGCGCTGCAAATGCAGGAGACCTTCTGTCGGGAATATCTGGTGAGCGTTGCTGCTTCACAGGGGGGCTGTGTGTGGAGGAAGCCACAGGAGGATTCCTTTGCAGCAGCAGCAGCCTCACAGAGATCAGTCTTGCCCTCCTTTGGAAGGTGAGAAAGTGCAAACATTTTAGGAAGGGAGAATTCTTTGTTGTTCCCCAGCACTTAGGAGCAGCACGGTTGCTTCTTGAAGCGCTTGGCTTGCCCCGGCCACCCAGAGATTTGAGGAGAGCATGGACTTGAATCCACGTTTCCTGTGTTCACACCTGCACCCCTAGAGTGCACACCAGGTTGGTGCAAGGCTGTCGGAAGGACTTATTCATGCAGGGCAGAGGTAAACTATGGCACTTGCTTCCACAAGAGGCAGTGATGACCGCCAACCCAGATGGATTTAAAGAGGAGTAGGCAATTCATAGAGATGTCTTCTGGCAGCAATGGGTCTGATCTGCCTCCACAGTCAGAGACTGCAATGCTCCTGAATACCAGTTGCTGGAAACCACAGGAGGGAAGAGGGGTCTTGTGTTTGAATCCTGCTTGTAGTTCTCCCTTTGGGGCATCTGATTTTCCACTGTGAGAACAGGATTCTGGGCTAGATGAGCCATTGGCCTGATCCAGCAACAGGCTCTCCTTATGAGAGGTTATTACAGTCTATCGGTGGTAGTTGTACATGAGCTTGATTCACTGCTAATAAAAACATTTGAGAGGTCTAGAAAGCAAAACTCCATCTTCCGAGGCACTGTGATAAGGACTGACCCTCTTCCTGGTTACTTTGCCTGTAGCATAAGATGCTGATGACGTCTCTCTCAGTGCAAAACAC